GACCATGTTAGCGGCACCTTATATATGCTGCAAAGGTTCTCAAGTCTCCCTAGGAGGATTTAACTATTGATAAACTAGTATAGCTTGTGTTTGCGTACGATTATATGCACCATGGAAGATTAGACAGAGCGCTTCGTGGTATGCATCAAAGATGAAACTTGCTGACTGTTCAATCCCTAACCTCTTGGTAAGTAGCCTAATACTCTGTAACTTGAACTGTTCTTCAGGTAAGTGTGAGAATATTCAGTCTTAACTGTTTCTTCTCAACGCAAAATGCGCTTGAATCAAGGTGGTTTGACCCTATCTGTGCTCTCGTGGTGGGAAGGAGGAAGATTGTCAGGCCCCAAGTCGAATCGACCTGACGCCTCAAGCTAAAGCCAAATATTCAGAGTTCAGAAAACAGTGCAAAAGCAGAGGAAGCGGCAGAAAAATATTCAGAGCTGAGAAAACAGAGCAAACCAGAGGATTAGAGTTGAGAAAACAGAGCAAAAGCAGAGCTTGATACATGCAAGTATTCAGAGTTTAGAAAGCAGAGCTGCATGCAAGCACAATTGCAGTCTATCTGTATATGTATCAGTCCTGATTGTCCACTGCCTTCTGCCTTCACCCTCGTTGATAATTGCAGGTTGGAGCATGGCGTTTACAATCCAGGGCCAGGCCCTGGGCTCAAGAGACAGAATGAATTGACGGGGTCTCCGGCAGGTAAGCTTCACAACTCAACTACGGAGTACATATATAGGCCATCAGTATATATATCAAGGTACTAGTATCTCATTTGGCCTCAACAGCATCTTCCCCAGCACCTTCCTCGGGTCTCACCTTCGCCTTCTCCAGCATCTCCAATCCTGGTCGTGTTTGCCCGCTCTGCCCTTGCCCGAGAGCGGCTTCTACGAGGCGCCTGGCATCATGTCATGCTCCTCCCCGACCTGCACAATTTTAGGTGTCCACTTAAAGAAGCTGAACTTTTAACACAAGTACACAACTATCCACATCTCCATTTTCTAAACCAACCTCACACTCAACCTGATATGGGAGTAGCTCCCATAATCATTAAAGCAGAAAATTACTGGCTTTGAGTCCCCGGTTAAAGGCTAATAAAAACACTATAGGTACCAGCTTCTATACTTAATAAATATATAGTGGTCAAGTACCAACGTAAGCACCACAAATAAACAGGGAAAGCCATATAGTATCAATTTTAATTTTGCTTATTATCACACTTCTTTCAACGATAATACACATAGAAAAAGAAAGAAACCGATAAATAAGGGATTAAGGGTGACAGTAGTACTTCTGGGATTCTGGTGGCATGGAAGCATGTACGCAATAAAAAATGAGAATGTGAACCGTCGAATCTTATATAAGCAACTGGTTATGAGGTTCATAGTCAAACCTTGGTCTCCGCTAGTACTAATGAAGTAGAGTTTTCCTAAGTTAATATAAAGCAGACGCCAAAGATGTGCCCCTAAAATAGCAGAAGGTAACCAGCATCTACTCAGAATCTAACGTCACATAGCCTTCAGATTTGTTTTGTTTCAATATTAGACTTAGGCGCTGCTTCTGCCAGAGATCCTTCTAATGAGAGACTGCCCTTTAAGGAGTAACCCCAATAGGAAGATCTGCATCTGGTAAATTGATCTGGCGTAAGCCTGCCCCAAGAGTAGTTTTCTATCAAGAACAGTGAATTCTTCTTTGCTTAAGTTCGCTCTTTCAGCCAGAGCTTCAGTTTATCAATCCATATATGAAATCATGAATCAAACTACAGACAGAAGGTATTGAATCCTCTCCTTTACATCAATTTTTTCATACATAAACATGACATACCTGATATTTCTTTCACCCGTTACATCTCCTGGACATCATGTACGACATGGGTATGGATGGCAGTCAGGATATAGCTGCACCCTCAGGAAAAACAAACACTAAATGGAAATGGAACTCTAAGAGGCAAAAAGGGAAATGCCAAGAACCCAGCACATACTCTGGTTCTGCAAATGCTACAAGTAATGGGTACAATCAATCATACGAAGATAAGATGGTCACACAATTTCATAATAAACAGAGTTTGGCCCCTCCTCCTTTTCCCGGGCTTGAGACCGGCTATGCAACATGAAGCATAACATCATCTTAGCATAGGCGGAGTTACACCCCCACTCCACACACCCCCATATACACATCGAACCCACCTAAACCAAAAACAAAAACCCAAAGAACACGACACACACAAACACACGAAGGCACGATCTCCAAAACCAAGGCCCAAGATAGAAACCTAAATGACACACATCAAATAAATGGTAACGAAAACCCAAGACCCTCTTTTGGAATTCTTTTTCCGAGTGAACAACGAAGCAACAGACAACTCGACCCTCAAAACAAACATTTTTGTGTTTTATTCCATTACTAGAAAAGGGAGAGAAATAAACATGTTTTTTTTGGTGATTTTTCATTTTATTTTACTACAAAATGCAATAAAACAAACAAGCATTTTTTTGTAATTTTTCTTCTGCCAAAAAAAAAGAGAACATAGCAAAAAAAACACTTCTTTTTAGTATGTGCGGTTTTGTCTTCCATTTCTTGAAAAGATAGTAAAATAAGTAGATATTTTTTTTCCTTTCTTGGAAAGACAAAAAATAGAGCAAACAAACGGAAGCCTCCTAATCTCTTTACTTTTTCTGCGGTGATTTGTTAACAACGCTGGCCGCCTGCATAAATGGAGTAACTCTCAGAAAATGTATTTGTGGAGTATCAATGGTTACTATTTAAAACAGTTAACAAAAGCACGCTATAGCGTCCTTAGCATCTCACTAAATAGATCAATGTACAATGTCTCTCTAATAACGTATTTTAAGGGCCACGCTATTTTGTCATAGCGTGTTATTTTTTCATTGATTTAAAATGATGAGAAAAATATATGTATCGTGCGTGCAGATTTGTAATTGCTTTTTTTACAGTTGATGATGATTGGCAGTTCCTTTTATTTAATCTAGCCTAAAAAGAAAAGAAAAACAAGATGCATCTAGATACATCCATTCGTTCGACAAGTATTTCGGGACGGAGGGAGTACTTACATAGGGAGTGTACATACCTTGTTTCATGGAGGTGGAGTTGCATGGCTAGCTTAGCTCAATCGGTTTTTTAATCTGGGGAAAAAAGGAAAAGGAGATCGGTGAGATACAGAGCTAGCGCTGACGAATAAATAAATATACACTTGGTTACCTCCGACGCCAGTTCTCTGTAGCCCTTGGTATGATAGAATGCTCGACACGGTTGGGAAGCATATCCATTGCACGCTTCGCTGTATCCTCAGCCTTCTGGTCCGCACGAGGGGCATATAAAGTGACTCTCTACACCCGACTGTGCTTCTGTCTTGAAGAACCTTAGCTTTGGAAACGCACCTGCACCGCCAATGGTGTCGTGCTGGAGAGTTGACACCGTCTCCAGCTTGAGGGCAACAAGCTCTCGAAAACTTCCAAAGACCTCCAGTTCTGGACTGTATACATGCAGTTTTAAATGGGGACAGATTCGGAAGAAGCGAGGGATTGATCCTTGCCACCATCCCAGGTTCTAGGTAGGACATGTGTAGAACACGTATTTGTGGAGAGAGAAAGATTCGTTCCCAGGGGTTCTCTTCGTGACTGGACTCTCTACACCCGACAACTAAATCAATGTCTATGACTTGGATCTTGCTCAATTTGGCTACAGACTCGGCCCAACTATTCATTCTACTATCACCATGTACATATACGCTTTTAAAAATGCGGAGCTTCCTCAACTCTGTCAGCTTGCCCAACTCTGTCACAAAGTTGGAGTCCCCATGAACTCGTCCTAGGCACAACTCTTCCAGAGATGTCAAATTTCTGATCCAGTATGGCACTTTAATGTCTGTTCCGCAGATGTTCAAGCACTTCAGTTCACTTAATCGACCAATACTGTCTGGAAGTTCCCTTATGCTATTTCTACCCAAGTCCAATACCAGCAAAAACTTCAGATGTCCTATTTCCTTTGGAAGCTCACTGATACCAATCCTCCCTAGTTTGAGGTGCCTCAAGTGAACTAACTTTCCAACATGCTCAAGTTTATAGCTACACTTAGTCAAAGTGTCATTGCCTTCCCAAGCTAGGACACGCAAAACTTCAAAGCATGAAAGTGATGGCAACAAATCAACACTGCACATGGCATTAAATGACCTTGCTTGTAATGTTGACGTGCTAGCCAGGGGCCGGGCTCTATGATGAACAACTAGCCTACGAGCATTGCAATGTGAAGTTGTATATTGCTCCTTACTATCCAATATAGTAACAAATTTTCCTCCTTTGACAATAGGCATATCATATCAACCATCATGTCATGGACACGACACCCAGTTATGATGCCAATATATTCATCTCCCTCTACCGCCATTATCATGCTTTTGTTCACCAGCTCGTTGAAGTACCTCTCACCAATCTCGAATAGTCCTACCCCTGGTTCCTCTTGGATAAAACCTTCGGCGACCCACTTCCATATCAAACTATCTTTTTCAATCAGATGATCTTCAGGATATATGCTCAGATACAATAAGCAAGTCTTTAGGTGACAAGGTAGATCACAATAGCTAAATAAAAGTATTTTTCTTGTGTTCTCCACGTCTTCGTTATCTTCATCCCCAAAACCAATTGAAGTGTATACCTTAGACCAAAGCTCCACAGGTTTGCCGCCAAGCAAACTAGCTATTGTGATTATAGCCAATGGTATACCACCACATTTATGTAAAATTTTATCATATACCACTACTGGAAGATGATTATTCCATTCTATTGCAGCACAAGATAATCTTCTATGAAATAAATCCTTGGATAAATCAAGAGAAAGAGGTTGTAGCTTGTATACTTCACTGGCCATTGTGGCAACTTCGAGTATACGAGTAGTTGTGATTATCCTGCTTCCACAATTGTTACACACCAAAGCGGTCTTGACTAGTTCCCATGTTTTTGTATCCCATATGTCATCAATGACAATTAAATACCTGTCATCACCATCCATAACGCAAGGGATATAACAAATTAGTGGAAATATTTTATAAGGCCCATAAGTATTCTAAATATCTTTGAAAAGAGGATGCATGCATGTTAGCCTACTTGTTGAGGAATCTAAAGTTGCATTGTTGAATCAGGACGTGGAGGAGTCCAGGAGAGAGACATGTATGCACGAGCCGAGTTTAATTCCATTTCATCATCCAGAATTCTAGTTTTGATTAACAACATTTTCGAATCTAGATACTTTCAACTCTTAGATATATTTTTGAATTAACATCAGCTGTAAGAAGTACTATAATATATGAAACAACGGCGAGATTCGACGGAAGTCCCAGCCCAAATTATAGTAAAGAGGGTAGAAAATCTTGATACGGTACATTATCATGCGCAAACAAGTACACATATTTTGCAATCCTCGGAGTTTGTTGATTAGCTGCCTTTCATCCAACTCCAAGTATTTTTGCCCAGAAATTTCAAGGAGTATGCCATTGAGAAGTTTCTTCACACTAGGGTTCCGTCCTACCAGAACAAAAGCACAACAATCAAACTGCGCTTTAAGCTTATCATACACTGCTTTGGCAATAGTTGTCTTGCCAAGTCCTCCGAATCCAAAAATAGAGAGTATCTTGAGTTGCTTGGACACATCACCATCCCCGTCACTCATCATCTTGGTTAGCTCATTCAATGAATCATCAATACCAACGAGCTCTTTCTGGTCCTTGTACAAATCCAATAGGCGAGGGTCAACAGTGATTGCGCCAACTGGATTAGCAACCACGTCGTCGACCCTGTACCTATGACGTCGGTCAGCCGCCTCCTTGACGCGGAGTTTGATGTCTTTGATCTCATCCGAGATCTCATGGCGAGTCTTGCTTTTGCCGAACAAATTCCCCATCTTCTTCATGAGCTTCTTGAGTTTGCGTGGCTTGATGGCAGGCTCAGCTCCCTCGACGCGCACCAGGAACTTGTCGACGACGTCCTCCATTCTAAATGACAAGTCTCTGACTTGGTTGGCCCAGAGCTTGACCTGCTTGTCGAGCTGGTCTCGCGGCACGCCCCCAACCTTGCGGAGGGCAGCATGCATGCTCTCCAGCTCTCTCTCTAGATACTCAACATCTTCCTTGACGCCCGTCTGCAGCTTGTACTCCTCCGTGAGGAGTCGGCCAAGCTTGAGGAGGAGGCTGCCCATGGCCCCTGTCGCGAGGTCCATGGTTGCTCGATTTGTTTGTGCGCAACTGATTCAGATTTATGAAAAAAATAGCAAGTGATTCAGATGTACTCCTTCCGTTCCAAATTACTCGTCGTGGTTTTAGTTTTTAGTTCAAATTTAAACTAAAACCACGAGGAGTAATTTGGATCGGAGGGAGTATGTATGTATAAGATATTTAGAAGTATTGGAGAATATGCTACTATACAGGCTGCAGATCCACTTGCTGCTGTTGGATTTGAGAAAGAATCTATCTATGAGAAAATAGAAGGAGATCGGGATTTGGGAGGGGACTCACCTCCCTCACGCACATGCAGACTTGCTCATGGAGTGAGGGAAGTAGGGGACTAGTGGAGATGGGGATGAAGAAGATGTGGCCATTTAGGGGACGACCAGAGGGGATTGGGGAACGGGGCTGGGGCTGGGGGCTGGGGCGGCTGCTCCCTCCTCACGTGCTCCAGATCTAAATCATTTTTCTTCTCAACAAAAAAAAACTAAATGATTTTTCTTGGTGAGCAGCTCGCCCCATCGGTTGTCCAAGGGCCACCATCTAAAGCGTGTTGGCATCCCAAGACATGGTCAAACATACAGTACTTCTTTTATTGCACAATATAAATCATGATACCTCTTTCAGATCTGAATTTATGTTGTTTCTTCAGTTAGGTGGCTGGCTATTCTTATCAGTTTGGTGGCACAAGAAACCCAGCCGAACTTCCCTCTATAGGTGCAGGGAAATTTGAAAAGCAGGGCTTGCCATCGTTAGTTATAAACGGACTAAAGGGCTGTTTGGTTCTAGGTCTAGCATTGGCACACTTTTCCACACATTTTTACCAAGCTTGCCTAAGGTTAGTTCATGAAAATGAAAGCCACAAGTTGGCAAGCCTAAAGGAATCTTGACACATTTTTTGTGTGTATGCCATGTGACACCCAAGTGTGGCTTGCCAAAGGTGTGGCTAGAACCAAACACTTGCCTAAGTTGGAAGTGGTCGTGGTAGATGACGGCGACGCTGGCGACGGTCTAGTGCTTGGACAAAGACGAAGGGGGTGGACGGGAAGCGGCGGCGGCTACGGAGGTAGTGGCGGCGGCGGTAGTCCAAGAAAAGCGGCAGCGGCGGCCTAACGGCGGCGGCGGCTAGGTTAGTAGCACGGCGGTGGTGCTCGAAGTAGACGAGGAACCCGATAGCATGACGAAAACCCGAGGACAGGGGTGTTCCTCCGCCAAGGGAGGCGGCGCGGCGCATACCACATGAAGTCAACGCGCAGGGACGACGGAGTGGACCTCGGGTCGCGGCGCTACGGCCCGAAGGGGCAACGCTGCGGCGGCGGGCAGGTCGGGGCGACGGAGGGAAGACCTCGGGGCGGTAGCGGGGACAGCGAGCCGTGGCGCTACAAGCCGAAGGGGCAGCGCAACGACGGAGCGCGGGTCGATGCAACCACGGCGACGGCCTTGGGGCGGCGGCGGCGACCACGTATCGTGACGCTACGGCTCGAAGGGTGACACAGCGGCGACGCGCGAGTCGATGCAACCGCGAGGAGAACCATGGGGGCGTAGAGCTGCGGCAGCGAGGCGATGCAGCGGCAGCCCGTTGCTCGATCGGTGGATGGGCGCGCTGAACTCGGGAACGATCTTCATCGGACCTGCGGGGCGCGCGCATCCAACGGGCCAGGTCAGTTGCGCAACATAGATGGGGCGGATCGTGGCGGCGAGCGGGTGATCAATACGATCACTGGTTAGTTTGTAGATACCTGAAGTTTTTGTGTCCTGAGACATAATATTTTGCATCAAATCCCTTACGAATCGTTGTCCATTTGGTACTCCCTCCGATCCGAATTAATTGACGCAGCCTCGACACTGTGTAGAGGTTACATCAATTAATTTGGGTCAGAGGGCGTAGTAAATTTCTCTATATTTCACTGTATTTGGTGCTAAATTCTGAAGAAAAGCACAACTTGCAACTTTTGCTTCCACCTGTAATCAAACTTGTCATTTTGCATCCACAAGGAAGAAGAAAAATAATACAGTATGTTAGTACTACAAATTACTACCGCCTGTCCTTTTGCATCGATCTACACAAAAGCAGAGCAAAAGAATAAAGTAAAAGAAAAAGCTAACAAAGTAAAAGAAAAAGCTAACAAAGTGCATCGGTAGTGTGTCATAGGCTCATAGCCCCTTGCACCCATCTACCTGCCATAGCATTGCTTTCCCCACCTGAGAGGTAGCTGAGATCTGCTGAGATCTCCGGCCGATGGGTTAGATATCATATCTTTGATTTCCTGCGAGGCGACGTCGTATCTTCATCAGGGGCTAGCTGGATCTATTTCTTTCTTGGATTATTTGCCCCCTGCTGTCCTCCTCCACTAGATCTGCTTGCCTTGCGCTTGTAGCTAGAGGTACTACTTCTACAAACTGCATCTCCTACATAGACAGACATACATGCATATATAAACACGACATTTGTGTCAGATCAGCAACATTTGTGTGCCCGTCATGGGTTTGTTTTGCCGCTGCTACTAGTACGAGTTACTACTTTCTTTTGAGAAGATCAAATGGATGATCCAGAATATCTGGCTAGTACCTCGATCTCTACTTGCTGACCTCTCGTGAGAATGCGAGTTGTTGTTTTTACATTTGACAGTTGTTTGTTATAAACTTGATTTTTTTTAGCATGCGCCCCACAGTGGTAATCAGCCACACGGGGAACACTTAGACATCTAACATCCAACATTACAAAAGTGAACCTGATTCTTCTTCTTCTTTTCCTTTTTTTCATTTCACATTTAAACTTTGCTGACACTATGCATTACTTGACTAACCTTGTAATTAACATTGCACGCTTCAACATCCCAATTTATTTATGTAAAAAGTGTAGCTATTGAAAATATGATCAGCGATATATATGTGCCATGGAAGTCATATCTAACACAAATGTTCATTACTACAGAGGGTACTCGGCTTTGATGACGCACCCAGAGAGCTGCCTGACCTTCTGCTGTGGTTAGAGTCAGATAACAGAGCAAAATCATTCTTCCTCGATGGCTGGAGTCACACTAATGGTGTTGGAGCCTCTACTATTCTTAGAGCTACGGCCAAATTCCTGAAATATGGAAGAATTGATCCTGACACGAGGAAGCATTTTGGACAAATTATCCATGTAGATTGCTCTCTCTGGAAAAATAGAAGAGCTATGCAGAGGGCAATTGCGGTGGAGTTAAACCTTGGCCATTTAATGCCTGTGTTTGATAAGCATGATGAGGATGATGATTTTAGAGGGATAGATATCTGCTCTAGAGTAGAAATACCAAGCGTCGGAAGTGAGATCAATGCGTGTCTAAGTAATGAAAGATTTATGATGATTTTCCATTATGGGGGAGAAGAAGACATCGATATGTCAGACTCTGGCATTCCTAATCCTGAATTTGGACCTTATGCTTTAGGGAAATTGTTATGGAGCAGTTATGGAAGATTTCAACTTTTAGGGAGAAAAGAGAAGTTGAAGGCTAATGCTGCTTGTTCTAGAACAATTAGTTTAATACCAAAGGATGTTACAATTCATAGTCAACTATTTTATCAGTCATTGCACAAAGAAGCCATTGAAGTGATTGGTTACACTGGCATGGATGACGTGAACCCAACAATAGTTCTGGACTGCTTCTTGTACTCACTTTTCCTGACAATGGAACAACACGGAAAGTCTATCAACGTTGACTATGGTTGGGATGCTCATGCTTGCAACTACTGGATATGTGATGGTATCCTTCAAGGGGACAGTGCCTACAAGGTTGGCAGTGCATTGTATGGAGTTATACAAATTGCATCCTATCCACCCAGTATAGATGAATCATCGTCGAGATATTTTTATGAACAAAGAAATATATATGGAAACTGGGTTTCAATCTCCTCAAACCAACTAGGAGCTCAAGATATCTCAACTGTTCCAGACAATACATCATCCTATTTCCTAACATTTGGAGGAGATGGTCGGCTACAACTACCAAATGATATGTTTCAACTAGCCAGCAACCTTCGTGTGCTGAAACTTTGCAAGTGCAACTTTGATTTTGCATCCCCTCCTTTCCGATGCTGCAACAACCTAAGATTTCTTTGGCTTGACCATTGCACAAACACAGGGGAGGAGCAAGGTGGAGGGCCATGTTTCCCAAACCTATTGGTGCTTGACATACGCTTCACAGACTTTGTCTTGCTAACAAAGATGATGGAGCTCATGACAAATCTTAGGGAGGTAAACACCAAGGGTGTCTCATGGAGGACTGTATGTCATGCATGGAAAAAACTACAGAAACTTCACAAGCTACGGGTAACTGAATCCTTGGATCTGATCACAGTGGACACCTTATCTTCCATAGATATGATGAATCTAGAGCTCCTTGACTTGTCTGGTAATATTCATATGAAATCATTGCCTGCAATGTCATCTGCTGGAAAATTGAAGATGCTTGTTCTTGATGGTTGTTCTAGCATAGAGCATGTTGAACTCGAAGGAGCACCTCCACTGCTTGAGAGTTTTAGCTTTGACGGTTATGGCCCAGCAGAGAACTGGACACATCCCATACAACTTCCAAAAAAGGAACTGCGTCCCAAATCTCGCACTGCTTTATTTCAAGAAGCCAATGTGAGAAGGATCTCCCTAAATGGTTGCGCTCGAATGCAAACCATTTTCTTGCGTGCATTGCCCAATCTTGAGGAGTTGGACCTCTCTGGCACTGCCGTTAAAACACTTGACCTGGATGCAATGGATATCCCACGGCTCAAGAAACTATTCCTGCTGGGTTGTGAGCAACTCCGTAGCATTCTCTGGGAAGAACGACACCCTTCACTGGAAGTTTTACATGTAGACACTCAGGGGAGGAGTAGAACAATGATATGTTGTGGAGAACAGCTCCTCTGAATTTGAGGCACTTATGTGTTTTACAGATGGAAGGTTACTTTTGTCTGCAATTATGGGACTCTATATGAGTATTGAGTATAACTCCAAGGTGCATCTCCATATGTCCGCTACGATCCAAAGCCATGTCAACATCACTAAGAGTATCGAGGAAATTGGGTCTAGCCAAGAGGGCTTGGTTCCAGCTTGGCACTTCTTACCATACAATGATATTATCCTTAACAAGGATATCGCCACATGCTCGTCCTTGGTATAGGACCACCGACGGCTTTATCCTTTGGGTGTTCATCTTGAGATTGGTGAAGGAAGCCACCATTTAGAGAGCATCAATGTGGGTTATTTTTTCATAGAGAGTAAAGTTGAATCATTACATGTGCATGACAATATCTCGATCACAACTATTGTTATAGGGAAATCAAGTTATTGGGAAGTTCTAGAATGGTGTCATGTTGAGCGGTGCCCCAAGCTGGACATTCTCTTCCCTAGTTGGGTTAAGCATAAGAGGTTTGGTCAAATAAAGATATTTTCCGCATCTGATCTCCCGATGGCCTATTGCATCTGGGATGAAGGCATTCCATACGGTTACGGCAACTTTTGCAAGCTACAACACGTATACTTGAGCAATTGTCCTCGGCTTGTGTTTGCCCTCCCCATTTCCTCCACCATGCCAAACTTGGAGACCATTCAGATCGAATACTGCCAAAATCTCCAATATGTTTTCCCACTGGATGACAACAAGAATGCTGAAAGGTTAGAATCTGGTGTCACATTCGAGAAGTTGAAGCACATCAAGTTGTACCATCTCCACATGCTGGAGCAGATATGTGGAGCCAGAATTATCACCGCGCCGGCCCTAGAGACAATCAGCCTCAGGGACTGCTGGGGTCTGAGACAACTACCAGCCGTGTCAAGCCAAGGACCCAAGCTGGTTGTTGACTGCGAGAAGGACTGGTGGGGCAAGCTCGAGTGGGACGGCTTGGAGTACGACCATGAACCGTCACTCTTCAAGACACGCCACTCAGCCTACTACAAGAAGGCACTCCCGAGGGTCTCTGTTCTAAGGTATGGTTTGTTCGATATGGATTTTGTTTTGTCCGTAGATAGGATTGACTGAGCAGGTGTCTTTGAAGTACTATATGACTAATGTTTTCTATATTTTTGTTTTTTGTTTCCTAGGTAACCTGGATATAAAGGGAGGCCGATCAGCTTACATGGTCAATGCATCAACCAATTGGTGTTTATAGTCAAGTCGTGATCTCATTCACAGCTCTTTGAAGTGTATCTTTCTCATTGCTTGCGGTTTTTGCAATTCAGCATGTTTTGCGGGGGAATTCAGCGCGTTTGTTATAAGCTCCATCAACATGGAGGAATAAGTAAATGGTTTGCACATATACCCGATCTGTTGTGGGTATGTATGATTGGATTGGATTAGTGTGTGATTGTAGAGCAAGCAGCACTGGATGAAATAGCAACATGTCCTGTCCCTTGCTGCTCTCCGTTCCTTAGTGGCTGCGCTTGCGTTGTCGCACGCATCAGTAGCAATAACCGCCGCTGCAGATTGATCAAGTAAGTAGTATCACGATGACTAGTAACTTGAAAAGACGAATTCGGTTATTGAATTTAACTTGAGAAGACGAATTCGGTTATCAAATTCAAGTTTAAGTTGAATTCGGTTACTGAATTTGTCAGTGCCAAACGTAGTGCGTTTTGCCGTCAGTCACCTTGGGGGTAGTATCTCAGGTCCAAGCTTGCTTGCTGGGCGCTGAAGATACCCCTTGCTGAAGAAAGAAGGCAAAAGAAAAAAAAATTGCACATCAAATATCTTGATAAATATAGATAGTCACACATATGTAGCTCACTGGCAAAATAACCACGTTAGATGAGTTGAACTGACGATGTATGGATTAGAGATGAGAGTAACCTTGGTGGCCGTCCCTTGAGCAGACTGCCGACCGACGCGGCAGAGTAGAGGAGGATGGATGGTTCTGCGGGCGGAAAGGTCCCCAACCGTCCTGTCGTCCGTGTCCGGTCTCGGCGGCAGAGTTGGAGTCATGGCTCCATCACGTTAGTTTGCGTGCGGAAGTATGATGAGTTTTTGTTTGCTTCCTGAGATATGACCCTTTCTGCCTATTAAATTCTGAAGGGAGAAGGAAAAATAATGCATACCTGTTTTCCAGATAAATAAAGTACAGAGGCAAAATAATCACATTATATGAGTTGAACTATAAACTTACTTCCAGCTTTGAAAGCCAAAGAAACGAAGACACGGATTTATTTACTAATACGATGGCGCGTCGTCATCCTTTCTCAATGGGCAGAGTTTGAGTTGGAATCATGGCGGCTTGATTTGTGAGTGCTCTGTTCGGTACCTAGGTTAGGGTTTCTATTGTTTTCTGAATTGGGCGGGCATGGATGTAGGGTCTTGATTGGCAAAAAATATGGCGTATTCGTTTGATTGGTGGCCATTAACGTGAGGGGAGGGGCAGGCAGTGTCACCGTCAGGTACTCTACTCCTGTGTTGATTCGGAGCAGACAAGACATCCTTCCTGTGGCTTGTGTTTGCATCAAGGGAAAAAAATAGCCCAACATACAAAATACCTTCACCTCTTAAATTATGCTAGTACACTGATTTATTTAGCGAGATAATTCTCTGCACGCTATAGTGCACTATTTTTTCAATGGTTTTCATCTCTAGTTTTGCTAGAACTCATTTAGATGAGATATAATTTGATCTCATTCACCTTTATAGCCATTGGATGTGATGCTATAAGATGCGTGTGTGCTGACGTGGGTTATATCTGTTCTTGATTTCAAAGTGAATGAGACCAAATTATATCTAATCTAGATGAGTTCTAGGTACTCCCTTTCATGTCTAACTGAACCAATTCTTCGTCACCATGACTTCCTGAATTCCCATGGGTAATCCCCCATTCCCTTTTAGATACCATTACCAAACCAAGTATTTGGGATTCAAATGCAACATTATAATTTGCCGAGCAAGCTGAGGCTATGTGCGCCCAAACCCTTGGAGATACGATTCGCTCTATCAGACAGACCTCAAAAATACGATTTTTAATATATCTAGTCGTCGACACACACACTAATGCTAATCGGCCACGGAGAACAGAACAGAATCAGAGAGACCTCAAAAACCCATAGCAGTCTGTCTGGTACACCCGTCACCTGAGAGTCCAACAGTAGCGCATCAAAAATTGATAGCACAGCGTCCAAAGGCTCAAAAAAGACAGAGCAGATGTCGAAGCAACAACTACTTAAAAATTCTTCTTTTGTTTGCTGATAGGGTTGCTGAGGGCAAATTTACCGCAGCAATGCGCAAAATTAACAATTTGATAAGGAAAAAGTCGGCAGGAGTACCCCCAATGCATGATCAATTCTAGTATGCGGATTGCCTGCGGAGTACAGTAGCACAACTTCAAAGGTGTATATGCTGTGCAGTGCTGCTGAAGCTGAGGATCAGTCGTGCACTCGTCCTTCCTGTGCTGTGTTTCTTAAAGCTCGGTTATAAAAAGTGACGCACACCAATGGCCTATATATGTAGTTGAGCTGCTGCTTTTAATTCATCCTGTCTGTCTCTTTTGCCCAGGGCCTGGATTGCAAACTCGATGCTCCAGCGACTTCATCTTTGTCAGGACCTCGACTCGACTTGCCGGGGTTATCAGCGAGCCGTGGAGGCAGTGGCTGGACAAAGATGGACGAGAGCTGATACATACACATAGTACTCCCTCCGTCCGGAAACACTTGTCATCAAAATGAATAAGAGGGGATGTATCTAGACGTATATTAGTTTTAGATACATCCCTTTTTATCTATTTTGATGACAAGTATTTTCGGACGGAGGGAGTAGATACATACTGCAGTTGTGCTTGCCTGTAGCTAGCTTCCTCTTGCTTTGCTCTGCTTTTTCAACTCTTCAGTAATACTTGCCTGTCACTTCCTCTGCTTTTGCTCTGTTTTCTCAACTCTGAATAATTGGTTTCAGGCTCAGGTCGACTCAACTTGGGGCCTGACAGACAATCTTCCTCCTTCCGACCACGGGATCAACATTACTGGAGGCTGCTAGCTATCTTCGCTTTTACTCCCTTCGTTCGGAGTTACGTGTCTCGAAAATGGATGTATCTAGAACTAAAATAAATCTAGATACATCAATTTCTGCGACAAGTAATTCCGAATGGAGTAAGTAGTATTTAGCAGGGACGAATCCACTAGACTGTTATATTTTTTGATATGGCCGTCCGATCATCTATCCTCGCTTTTATTTTTAGACGTGGGGTTGACACATGTGGGTCTCTCTGAAGCAGACGAGTCCAGAGACGGAGATACCTGCCGGCCATGGAGGCTGCCAGCGAATCCTTTCGCTGGAAACGGCGCCATCCCGTCCCAGAGCTCGGGTGGAGACACTCATGGCGGCGGCTTGATCTGTAACCGCTCTAGCTAGGGTTCCTGACGCGTTCGATCGATTCAGGTGGTGGGGGTGGTCTTGGTTCCCTTCATATTATACCGAAAAAAGGTTTTCCCCGTTTTGTATACAAAGCAACCAACCGAACATCCAACAATAGGTGCTAGGACGAAAGCAGCACAGTCACGCCCAAAAGAAAAGAAAGAGAAAATACAAGAGAAACTAATGCCAACAATGACGGAGCGACAAAAAACGAAGAAGCCTCGTGTCCGCTGCACCCACCGGAGATCGCCCACCAAGCTCCGAGCCTCCGAAGCGCCGGTACCAATCAACACCTCCAAGAAGGGACGCGGCGATGACGACGTTGCTGCCAAGGGCTTCCCCCGGTACGTTGTGAGGAGAGAGGGAGGGTAGCCCCGACTCCCTTCAGGAAGGTCGGGCGGTGCCCACAAGCGCCATCGCGTCAGCGTCGGCCAAGCCAACAGGGATTTCTCCCGATCCCAACCTCCACCTCAGGCACTCCAGAGCTCGCCACCAAACAAACCCTCACCCTGCGACAACCCGGTCATGAAGCTTATCACGCCGTCTAACCACGGCACCGTGAAGCATGGTCCGCACAAAGGAGGAGAGGAGCCGGGACTGGGGCAGCCGCACCGTCGGCACGCGGGAGGGCCCCACCTCCACCGTTGAAGACGGTAGCTGACCGAACGCAATAGCAGGAACATACCAGGCCCGTGGCCGCACAGGCCCATCGGGGAGCTTCGAGGCCCGTAAAGTTCCCGCCTTCGCGCTGCAGCCGGCACGCCGTCGACGCGGCCGCCCCTGTACAAGCCGCCCCCCTGCCTCCCCGCATAGAGAGCCGCCAAGTGGAAGCACCACCACCACGCGCGCCGCCGGCCACCACCACCAGGTCGCCGGACCGCCACCGGCCGAGCCGCACCACCATCGCACACCCGCGACGGAGAGGAACCAACGCAGCCGCCGGGGGCCCGAAGCTGGACCCCAGCCGCCACCTACGCCGCCCGCAGCCCGCGCCGCCTGCCGGACGAGACCGGCCGCCACGGCGAGGCACACACCACCGCGCAGCCGGCCATGCCCGCCAGGAGGCGCGCGCCGCCACACCACGGTGCCCCGCGTCTGCACCGCGCCCGCACCCGGAGAAGCGGCCCGTGCCGCCCCGTCGCGCCGGGGGGAGAACAGGCCCCGCCGCCGCCGCCGCCGGTCGGGCTTCGCCTGACCGCGCCCCCTGGCGGCGGAGAAGGAGGATGGAGGAGGAGGGGAGGCTCGCGGCGAGCGGATCTGGGGGCCCTCGCCGGCCGCCTCGCGAGTGGCGGCGCGGGGAGGGAAACCTAGCGAGGGGAGCCCTACACTCATAGGAACCTTTTCCCTCCATATTATATACTCCGGCCGTCCGAAAATACTTGTCATCAAAATGGATAAAAAGAGATGTATCTAGAACTAAAATATGTCTAGACGCATCCCCTTTATCCATTTTGATGATAACTATTTCCGGACCGAGGGAGTACTATAATCTATTCTGGCCTACTCTCTGCTGCAACCAAAAGATTACGCCTGCCATTAGGCTTTGTTTGGTAGTAAGGAAAGGAAAATCTAGGGCGAGAATCCCCTAGGGGTAATTTCACGAACACATGGGATCCCCACGTCCACCGGCAACAAGGGGAGGAGCCCCTGCAACCAAAACAACCCGAAATTAGAAATAAATTCCAGATAATTTCAAACATCTCTCGTGATGAGGAGGGTCGCAGGAAGTAGAGGGACGTGGTCACGCTGGACGGAGGCGGAGGACGTCGTGGGGTAGAGCAGAGGAGGTCGCCAGGGAGATGCTCGATCAGAGGCTTCGGTGTCGCAAGAGAGAAGTGGGTTTCCTCCTCTATGTCAGGAGGTGTGGATTTAACGCCCAGGGAAATGAGGTGGATAGGGCTGACAAACCCTGTCGAGGGGCACAACCAAATGCGCCGGTGACCTGCCCGGGTCAGGTTTAGCCCATGGGCTCCCTCCCCAGGGATTAGACGGGGATCCCAGGGGAATTCGCCGAAACCAAACAAGGCCTAAGTCCTCAGTCCTGAGTATTCAGGACCAAGATGGAGTCTGCATTTTTTTTTATCTGACAGTTCAGACATAGTACAGGGGCAAAGGAATTAACATAGTTTTGTTTCGGGTAGATGATTGGTAGTGTGTCCGTTGAGCAGTAGCCTTCCTTTTGTAGTTTCATTCATTCGGAAACCAAAAAAGGAGCAAACAAAACTGCAAAATACAGGAACATATAACATATTTGTCAGCAACATACAGATATATGATCCTGTAACTGAATCAAGGACCACAGTAAATGTTCACTCAAGTGCAGACATGTCTAATTCTCGACCAGGACCAAACATACATTCTGTCCAACAACATACATTACATTACTTGTATATTGCTTGTGTTGCTTGTGTTGTCAAGAGATGATGGGTGCCGATGGTCACCAACGTATATTGTGGAATCGCTTCGGGAATTTTTCTTTTTATCACTCCGTCTGGCATAGCTTCGTTCTTGTATGACTTTGCTCCATGTGGACGTGATCATTTGTGTGTGTTAGTGTTGGTTATGTGCATTCTAACTATGCAGAGGCCGCATGTTGTACTCATTATGATTGTATCCCTCGATGCTACATTATGAGTCAATAAAAAACAATTTTTATCAAAAAAACATACATTACATTACATGGCATAGTTTCAAATAGCCGGCTATAGCCCCGCTATAAGTCCGATATAGCTGTTTAAGCATGTTGCTGCTAAATGATTGTAACTCTGTGATGATTTTTTATGGACCAAAAGGAAGAATGTTAGGCCCTGGTTGCACCTGGGGGGGAGTCCCGAGGAGGGGACAACCCACCAGGACGCGCCAGGAGGCCCAGGAGCGTCCTGGTGGGTTGTGCCCACCTCGGGTGCCCCCCGGACCGCCTCTTTGCTCTATAAATACCTCAATATTCCAGAAATCCGAGGGCCATCTATATTCACCAGGAGCTATCAAATACAATTGTAAATATGTGGTTTTCCAAAAATTATGAAAATTCATTTGTGGCTTGTTAATATGGCTAGTAATTTATGCAAAAAGCTTCAACACAAATCAGATTCATTTGATAGCTAGAATAAATAGAAAACAACAACTAAAACCAAAAACAAAAAAAAATGGCCACATGCACCTAGTTGGCCCACCACAGGCCGATTGGCTTCCAGTCGGCCCGCAGCAAGCCGACTGGGACTAATTGGTTCGCAGCAAGCCAATTAGTCCTAGTCGGCTTGCTGCGGTCCAACTGGAAGCCAATCGGCCTGCGGTGGGCCGACTAGGCCCAGTCGGCCCGCAGCGGGCCGATGGTGTATTGTTTTTGAAAATAAAAATATTGGCATAATATTTATGCAAATTAATTAAAAAATGTATTATTTAAAAAAAAGCCAGAAATTGAACCAAACCAAGCAAACCATTAAAAGGAACATGAAAAAAAAACTGAAGGTTCAGTGTGCACTTAGTCACATTCTACAAATATTGTAAACAGGGTGCAAAAGGAAAACGTGGTCCACAGTTTCTGGAGCACTACAAAACATAGTTTGGGTCTACTTCCACGAGGGGGGACATAATTATTAGTATATCTACCTAAAGTGGCTAAACTTCACCGCTCAACTACGTAGTACATCATTAAATGAAATAGGACCGTATCACTTATCACTTGAATATATATATTTAACTCAAGAGGAATTTTACCATATGCCGGAACCAAAAATACATCTGTGCATACACAGTAAAAAAAAGGATTTGCTAGAGCAGTGTCAGTCGCTTTAAAAAAAAAGACTCTAATTGCAGCGGAATTTTGGTGGCCGTTCGATCAGCGCGGCGATTCACGCGAGCACACGTGGCGTGCTCGTGGGGTTGGGCCGCGGGCATCTCTCCGGACCAGAGGAGGTGTGAGAGAACGATGTGCCGGAGAGGCGGCGAACCAATGTTTCCTCCGGTGGCCAGTTGCGCGGAGGTTGCCTAACGCCGGCGCCATCCCGTCCTTGGGCTCGAGTAGAGTCGTCGCAGCTTGTTCTGAATTTTTTTTTCCGATGTGTAGCTAGAAGCTAGGGTTCCTGTCCTGATGCCTTCGAGATTCAGTTGGCAGTCGTCTTGGTTCTCGCAGTATTTATTTCACCTCGGAGCACTCTTTGCTAAAGAAAACGAAGGATGGAATCCGCCATTAGCATGTGGGGACAGCGTTTCCCTCCGTCCTGGTGCAGACTAGTAGTCTGCACTTTTTTCTTTGTGACATTCAATTGTTCTGCTAATTTTTGGTTCAGGCATAGGCAGACAAAAAAGCTTCATAATCTCTCTGTGCACACAGTCGCTTTGATTGCGTGTCGGTTGTGTGGTAGCCTTTTGTCGGAAAAGGAAGCAAAAAAGTAAACAACAACAAAAAAACTCTGCAAATTGTAGGAACATATAACGTATTGTCAGTTACATAGTACAGATAGATGATCCTCCAACTGAATGAAGGACAATGGTAAAAGTTCTGTGAAATTTATAGACTTCAAAGTCGATTGGGACCAAATACATATTGTGTCCAACAACATACATTGCACGGTGAGCTCTGCGACGGCAGAAAGCCCACCGAATTGACATGCATGAGAACAAACTAATTTTTTATTAAAACCAAAAAGTACCGAGAGGAGGAACTTGTTGGAAGCACTTCATCATCTTCAGGAGACAGCCGGCACAACCTGAGGGATGCAATCCATCATTAGAAACTCATCACACAATGTATTACAGGTTCATTATGGTCCAAACTGGAGCAACGACTGCTCCAGTAAAGTTTACAAGTGAACTACAAACAAAATAAAACGGAGCAACCTGAATATTCAGTGTGCACTTTACGTAACACACTCCACAAATATATGGAAACATGGCACACAAAAAGTGGTCACAATTTCTGTAGCACTACAAAATGTACATTTGGGTCTCTACTTCTTCCAAGGGAAGCATAATTATGTCTACTTCAAGAAGATAAAATTCAAACAGTACAACTATCTACATCACCATTTCTAGATCAACCCCATTCAGAGGCACACTATAAAAACACTAATCTACCAGCTTCGGTATCAGTAATCACCTGAATAGTTCTATTTACCTCAAGAATAATACCCCCTCTGCAAATAAATATAAGACGTTTTAGGTCACTAGGTAGTACTTTCTAACTTCACATCGGTTCTACTAGCTACACCACTAGGAAAACAATTAGACAGATGGAATTTGGTATTATACCTGTGTGCCATCTTCCATCTGCTGATCCTCTCAAATCGCCACCCCTTCGATCTTCTTTTTAAAACTTTCCATGTTGTTGATTGGACAACATTCTTGCTGTGCATTAGCAAAGGCATCGCTATTCACCGAGAAGGTCGCATTGTCAATAGTAACTGGCGCCACATGGTTTTTTGCAGCCACCACACTTCCCATCTCAGAAGTAACAACTTGTACTTCACAATTAAAAATAAGTAACTAATGTCACGTGTGTGCTGAAGAGTATATGTACAATTCAACACACCTCTAGAATTAACATAAGTAGAAATTAAGAAAGAAGAAAAGATGCACATACACACTTAGTGAATTACCAGAATATTCTTGTTGTGCATTAGTAGAAGCGTCATGATTCACCGGCAATGTCATATTAGTTGTAGCAGCTGGTGCCATGGGGATTTCCACAACAGGCTCACTTTTCAGCTCAGAAGTAGCAACCGGTACTGCACAATAAAAAAAAAATGTCATGTGCCTATGTGAAGAGAGAGTTTATATATAACTCAACACAACCCAAGAAATAACCAAAGTAGCAATTGACCAGAATAAGATGCACATACATGCTTGCTTACTGGAGTCTCCATCGGAAATGGCGCCAGGAGGCTTTCTCATTGATAACGTCGTATCAGTAGGCGGTATCACAGGGCTCTCAAATTTCTCTGCAAGCTTACTTCCCATAGGAACCTCTTGGGCCATCATATCAGTAACTGTTGCTGCAGGGGTAAATTTCGCAACAGGTTCACTTCCTGTCAGTTTAAACTGATCATTAACCATTTCTCTCGTGACAAATAAGAGCTTGGGATGTCTTGGGTGTCTCTTTGCTGCCTCTTTCCAGTCCTGTTTTGTTTGATTGCTTAGTCCATCATGGAGAGCGACCTCCTTAAGACGTGGAAGGCACTGGATCGTCGTCCCACTAAATCCATTCAGGTTCGTACATAGCAGCTGCAGTGATTCGACGCGTGGCATAGCTCCTTCTTGGATTTCCAGCTCAGTCATGACTTCTACCATGACGCATAGGCGTTGCAGGCTTCTCAGTGCGCCTTGTCCAATGACGAGCTTGTCTAGTTGAGTGGCAATCAGCTTCAGGTACTCCAAGCCACACACTCTGCTCAGGGAATCTAGAAACTTACCACTCAGCTTATGATCATCAGGGAATGACAGACACAACTTAGTGAGACCACCCAGCATGGTAACAAACAGAGGCAGCTGGCTGCATATTCTGTTCCCTCGTAGCTTGAGTGAGCTAAGGTAGTAGGAGTAATCTTTATCCAAAGAGAAATCCAGAATATCTTGGGACCATTCATCGTTGATGTTCAGCGAGAGTGAACGAGCTTCGTTTGGTTGGGTGCCTCTCTCGATGAACCCCTTAATGGCTTTTGAGATATGACTTAAGTTGTTGTTGGCAAAGGCATTGGCGCCGGTGGACTCGCACCATATTTTCACCTTTGTCAGGTACTCCATATGATCCATGAGCTGTGGCAATTCTTGGCTCTTGTCCACAACAAATCCGGCGAGTGTTTCTAATTTGCTATTCTCTGATAACCAAGTCTTTAGCTTACGCATTCTCCGGTCTCCGACATTGTGCTGGAGCTTGAATTTCCCAAACAGATGAACTAAACATGGCAGCTCCATGACCTGTGTGGGCAGAATCTCTATCTTGGTTTTTCTTATGTCCAATGTCTCCAAAAATTGAAGCTTCTTGACCTCTTTGGGAAGCATAGTAACCATAACAGCGCCCCCGAGGCTTAGGTATCTGAGCAGCAACAGATTGCATATCTCCTTGAGATGCTTGTCATCCAAGTCTTCATTGCATTCTTCTAGATCCAAGACCCGCAACAGTTTGTACATGGAAAAGTCCAAGACAGATTTGTGCGCCTTACCGAAGACTGTCAGGGACCGGACAAGACGTAAATTCTTTGGATTCATTTTGTACCTTTCAGAAATTTTATTGTGCAGTGAAAGCCAACGGACATTACTCCCAGGTAGGGGATCCTTATCATACAATGATGTAACAAAGTCTTCACACATGGACTTGTGCAGGATGAACTCCAGCATCATGCCATGAGTCTGGCATTTCTTCACCTCTGCACCGCTGGCATGAACAGGTTGAATGATACTCCGATTGACCAGCTCACCAAAACAGTCAATAGCAACACTGAGGGCACTGCGTCTATTGTCTTGGTTGAGGAGTCCTTCAGCTAAGAATCTCCTTATCAGAATTCATCTTCTGATTGGATGGCCATTTGAGTAAATACCCAGATATAGCAAGCAGGTCTTGACATCTTCACTACCAAGGCTAGTGTAGCTATGGACCAGCACACGCTTCATTCTTGCCAAGGCATTTTCTGTCTCCAAATGTTTGCCAAGGTATTCGCATAGATTTGCCCACCTTTCTGGATTCCCTCTACTGTGCAAGAACTGGGCAGTGGTAACAAGAGCAAGGGGTAGACCATCACATTTGGTCAGTGCTTGTGAAGTACTAAGCTGCGAGCGATCACCTGGTGCTGGTGCATCTTCCAAGAAAGCTTCTTTGAAGAACAGCTGTCTTGAATGTTCCTCGGCGAGAGTTTTCATCACATAGACATGGCCATGACCGGTGCTGCAGGCATTTGCTATGGACTGAATGGCTGTCGTCACCATAACTATGCTGCTCACCCCGGGAACAATAGGGAAGGCATCTTTTATATCGTGCCAAAATGCGGCTCGTATGTCATCAATCACAATGAAGAACCTGACAAGAGGTAGATTGACAAATCATAAGAACTATTACAAGATATTCGATCTTCAGAGAAAGCAAGTATATTCGTGTCACTATAATATGGATCTGTTTCAACTAGAAAGAAAGAAGAATTGAAGAAATAGGAATTATCATCAAAGGGAAAGAAAGGAAGAATTGAAATAGGAATTATCGTCGTCATAGAAACAAGACTAGAGATATGGGTACCGATGGTTAGTGTTTGTGCCACAATATTTATAAGATTCATACAATGTTATGCTAAGATCACCTTACACTTAAACAATATGATACACTACACCTTGATATTTTTTCCCCAAAATAAGAGTAATATAACAATTTTTTATGCAAATTAAAATGGTTGGGGTATGTACATACCTCTTGGTTCCGAGGCACTCTCTGAGGCTTGCGCGGAGCTTCTTGAGATGGCAGGAGCTGCTGCCTGCAATTCCAAGCTGCCGGAGTATCTCCTCGAGAACATACCTTGAGCCTTTGTCCGCAGCACGAACCCAAGCCCGTACGTTGTATTCCCCTTCCTCAACCGTGTCGTTGTAGGCTTTCCGGGCGAGAAGAGTCTTCCCTATTCCACCGAACCCAACAAGGGAGACCACCTTGAGCTCCTCGGGTTGTTGTCCCCTTATCATCTCCAGGAGCTCATCCCGCTGAGCTTCGATGCCCACGGCCACCGTGTCCGCCTCCGTATCCTCCTCATCATCAGATTCAGATACCAAGTTGCAGCTGGATCCGGTGTTGCCGGTGTGGAAGTTTGTTGTGAGCACCGATGATGCATCTGGCTCGTACTTGTTTCTCAGCATGGCTGCCTCGGCTGATTTCTTCTTTATACGGCGGATCGCCGCAGCAAACTGGTTTCGGGCCCTCACCGTCTTCACCCGGTGGAGTTTCCGACGGATCCACGACGTGCCGGACCGGAGCGCCACGTGGTGCGTGAAGGTGTCGACGCAGTCCTCGATCTCGCGCGCCAAGTCGCGCACCATCGCGATCCAGCGGCTGTGGACATCGTCGTTGCCGCCCCTCCTTCTCCCGTCATCTTGTCGAATGACGGCAGAGATCATGAGAAGCTCCTTCTTGATGGACCCGATGTCATGCTCCAGATCCGCCCGCACCTTGCGATTTGCTAGCAACAGGCCATAGAGCTTAGGCGCGAGCTTGCCGACCGCGGTGCCAACTCAGGGTGGACGTGACGAGCGGGCTTTCGGCCCGGCTCGCGGCTCGTTCTGGCCCGGACCGTGCGGTCCTGGCTCGCTCAATAATATAGCCGGTCCGGTCCACGCAAACAGGATCGAAATTCGGTCGGTCGGGTCCGCTGAAAGCTCGGTCCGGCTCGGAGGACCGAAGACCCAGCCCAATATACAGCTAATCAGGAGAGCCCAACGCATATAGTCGTGCCTCGTGCGTGCGTGACCTAGCGAGCGAGCTTCCTCTCTCCCTCGCCTCCCTCTCCCCTGCGCGGCTGCGCCGTCAGGCAGCTTCTTCTCTCCCCTACGCGGCCCCCCCTCCCTCGCCTCCCTCTCCCCGGCACCGGCCCCCTCCGCCTCGCGCCGCCGTGCCCTCGCGCGGCTGCTCCTCGTCTACCCCGCGTAGCCGAGCCGCTCCCTCTCTCTTCCTTGCCTCTCCCTCGCGCCGCCGTGCATCAGGAGCGTCTTCTCCGGCTCCGGCCACCCTGCTTCTTCTCCGACCACCCCTCCGCCACGTTGGACCCACATGGCAGTGACTGGATGTCGCCGGACCGTGAGGACCGCCGGTCCGCACCGAGCTTCGCGCCTGCCGGTCCGGTCCCTGAAATCAGGACCGCTGCACTGCTCGGTCCGGTCCGGCCCGGACCGCCGGCGGCCGGTCCAAACGACGGCTCGGACCGGGACCGGACCGGCCCGGACCGTGTCCACAGCCAGTGCCAACCGCAGCTGCTTCCATCGCCTTCTCTTCTCCGCACACCAATTTCACTCCATTGTACTCTCTCTCTCTATATATATATCCTAGGCCGGGACCAGATTAGTGGCATTCACTCTGCTTCTGTCTGCATTGTGTGTGTGGTATGGTGGTCGAGCTGTGAGTGATGATGAGAAGAACAGTGACTGCACTGCTCTGCACTGCTTAGTAGTATGCGGCAGCCCGTCTCAGGCACCACGATGTGACCCGACGGCTGTCGGAAGGCACATGGGCTGGCTTTATTGTAGTGCCATGCCATAGACCCCCGGCTGCCGTGACCAGACGTCTGCGGTAGGCACATGGGCTGCTACCTGCTGCCCCTCATAATTTTCACAAACCTTTTTACAAAACTGCCCTCTCTGTCCGGTGCAAGGGGCAAACTATTCAACAAGTAGTGGATTTTATCATCAAGTACACACATTCATTCCCTAGTAGAAAACAGGGTTTTGGTTCAGGCCGAGCCAGTCCATTAGTCTCAGTTCAACCCAGAACCAGGACCCATGTGGGCATTGGTCCCGGTTCGTGAGGCCAGGGGACCTGCCGGGCCTCGTGGGGCATTGGTCCCGGTTCGTCTGACCTCTTTGGTCTCGGTTGGTGGGATGATTCGGGACTAATGGGCCTCGCTCCTAGCCCATCACCATTGGTCCCGGTTGGTGGCGTGAACTGGGACCAAAGGCTACCAACCGGGACCAATGATGTGCCTATATATACCCCCTCGCCGGCGAGCAGAGTACTCCACACTGCTCTGTTTTTACTGGCCGGCGAGGGGAGGGTTTTGTGGTGCTCCAGCTCAACTCTTATGCACATGAGGTGTTCGATGGAATGCCCAAGCCACACTACTTAAGCTTTCTTCTCTCCAAGCTCGACCTCCAAGCTCCATTTCCCTCAATATTTGTTTAGTTTTAGCGGTCTGTCACGTCCCGTCCCCGTCTTCACCACCATCGATCGCCCACGCTGATCTCGTTGCCGGCACCACCGTGGTGAGCCTCTTGTTCTTATCTTCTTTCTGAAAGGAAAAACATTTCTTACTTGTATGTTTAGATAGATACTTGTATAATTTTCTTACTTTTGTTATTGCTTCTTATTACATAGTGCGATGGTTTTGGTATCCACCCCGGTCGGCCCTCGTCCTGTCTATGATTCAGATGTGGTATATATTATCTTTTATAACTATTTGGTTCATTTATTGTTTATGAAAATTATGCCGACCAACGTGACATAGATTTTATTTATCTAGGAGGTATGTGAACCGGAAATTCCAACCGACCCTATTGTCAAGAGGTTAAATTTAGTTGAAGAAGAAAACAATTACTTGAAGGAAAAAATAAAAAAAATTGAGAAGGAGAAGATGATATTGGAGTTGCATGTTGCGGATGTCGTCGATGATCACAAGATCAAGATGGATGCAATGCGCTTGAAGATTAGAAAGATTAGAAAATATGTCATTCATATCGAGGCTTGATATCACTATGTCGTTGGATCAATTTACCTTGGTTGCGATTATGATCACATTTGTTGTTGCATTGAAATGTTTTACATAATTTCAACGTATGGTTTAATTAGATGCTCTGGAGAGCTATATGTTGTTCAATGAGAACTATGTATGTACTTTGGTTTTAATGTGATGATGAACTTCTATTAATTTGGTCACTTATCTATTCATGATGTTCTGTAGTAGTTCTTGACACACTTAATTATATATAATGCACGCAGATGAACCGACAATGGATGTACGGTGACAGACACACCTCCGAGTACATAAAGGGTGTGCATAATTTTCTTGAAGTGGCTGAGGCAAACAAGCAGAATGGTTGTATGTGTTGTCCATGTCCTATATGTGGGAATACGAAGTCTTAATCTGACTCGAAAACCCTTCACAACCACCTTCTTTATAAGGGTTTCATGCCACACTATAATGTTTGGACCAAGCACGAAGAAATAGGGGTTATGATGGAAGACAACGAAGAAGAAGAGGACGATGACAACTATGTGCCCCCTGAATACGGTGATGCTGCAATGGAGGAAGCTGCTAAAGATCAAGAGGAACTAGATGATGTGCCCGATGATGATCTCCGCTGGGTCATTGTTGATGCAAGGAGACAATGCGAAGGTCAAAAGGAGAAGCTGAAGTTTGATCGCATGTTAGAGGATCACAAAAAAGGGTTATAACCCAATTGCGAAGATGGCAACACAAAGCTCGGTACCGTACTGGAATTACTGCAGTGGAAGGCAGAGAATGGTGTGCCTGACAAAGGATTTGAGAAGCTACTGAAAATATTGAAGAAGAAGCTTCCAAAGGATAACGAATTGCCCGACAGTACGTATGCAGCAAAGAAGGTTGTATGCCCTCTAGGATTCGAGGTGCAGAAGATACATGCATGCCCTAATGACTGCATCCTCTACCGCGGTGCGTACGAGGATTTTACCGCATGCCCGGTATGCGGTATAAGATCAGACGAGATGACCCTGGTGATGTTGACGGCGAGCGCCCCAGGAAGAGGGTTCCTGCCAAGGTGATGTGGTATGCCTCTATAATACCACGGTTGAAACACCTGTTCAGAAACAAAGAGCATGCCAAGTTGATGCGATGGCACAGAGAGGACCGTAAGAAAGACGGGAAGTTGAGAGCACCCGCTGACGGGTCGCAGTGGAGCAACCATAATATGAAGCAAATAGAGGAATCACAAGGTAATTCTACTAAATTCATTGAAAGAATAGTGGCAATTTTAGGCAGTGTGCTAGATGAGGTACAAACTGAATACTAGTACAGATTAAAGCAGGTTGAATGTTGAGCAGCACATATAATATGATGGTAAGAAAATGATAGCATCAAACAGATTGACAGCGAGAATTTCTCATCTTGGGCATGGAGAGCTCTGTATAATTGAACCATTCAAAACTATACACTGCATAGCAAGCACTATACGGAATACTAGAAAGCATTTAATTTGCTTATGTTTGATTGTTTGACAGTCATTGTTGCCAAGTCAAATTAAATCACAGCAGCATATGCAGTGAGGACAAACCATCCTAGAGACCGCAAACTGCAGTGCTTCCAGAGGAGTTACAAGCAGTTTTGTGAAACTAATAATTGTAGAATAGCAACCAAAGAGTGCCCCTGATAATAATATAGATAAGAGTCCTAGGTTACGTATGTACAGAGCAGAGCAGCGGCGAGGGTAATGCAAATCACTGGCCAAAACAGTGGATCAAGCTGAAAATCTGTAACAGAAATTGCAAGATTGAGTATATAAAAACCTGTCAGCCATTGGTAACTCCAGTAAGAAGAAACCTAAAGCTTGATGCTACTAAAGCTAGTACTGCTATTTTCACTGTAATAAAATATAAAAAGCTATAAATGGATGGATCATCCCAGCTTAACACAGACCAGCTGGACACATCCACAACACATTTTCTGTTGGCGCCGAAGCAGACCTCCTCCATGAGCCTGTAGTCGTCGACCGACAAGGTGAACTCCAGCACCGCTGGAGGTGGGGTCGAGGCGATGGGCCTTCTCGAAGGCATAGAACCAACCTAGCACCGCGCCAAGAGACATACATATTAATACATTGTGTGGTGAGGCAAGGAAACAGATACTAGCACTCTGTAACACATCTAGAGAATTATGCCCACTTCACTTCACTTCACTTGGAGTTAATAAACTAGATGGACTATCGCTAGTGTGCAACTACCAGTGTTGTAGTACTTGAGGAAGATGAATATAGTACAACTCACACACACAGGTACAAAGTAATAGAATACAGACAAGTTACTAAGTGGAGTAGTAGTAGAAGGGACCTAAGCTAGCACCCAAGCCAAGAGACATACTACTAGTAAATTGCTGTTATGGGTGAGATAAGAGCACAGGTGGTGCTTCTAGAGAGGGAATTATGGGCACTTGGAATAAATTAACAGAGTTTGTCCATGGACTGTCACAGGCAGCAACATAGCACTAGTGCTCTTGTGCTTGAGCAAGAAGAATATATATAATACACAGGCAACAGAGTTGGTGCTAATAGAATACAGCAACAGTGAGTAGTAGTAATTAAGAGGTAGACACTTAACCTGACAGAACTATGCATCAACTAGGCACGATTTCAGAACTGATCGCGTCGTGCAGCCGAATAATTCAGGAGGCGACTCTGCTAAATTCCAATCCACTGCTGCAGTCGATCTAAAGTATTGACTGGAACAAACAAGTTGCACTCATCCGTGACCATCTAAAATTCAGTAAGTATGCTATACTGCTTGCTTTTTGTTAAGCCAACGAAACTAAACAAACTAGCAC